GAATTGCTAGTTGCTGAGTACGTCTGGAAATCTGACCACTTCATTTACTAGAATTTATATTACCATAGAGCTTGGGGCTGTTGTCATGTAGCAGGACCCCCGCTGTGCTAGGTGCTGTACAAACACAGAACATAAAGCCTGTGTCTGCCCCAAAGAGCTCACAATCTAGGGGGCCTGACTGGAAGCTGAGTTCTCATGAAAATCCAGCCCCAACTGTGGGTACTCTGCACTTTAGGAATTTGACCCTCATTTCTTTCAGGCTCTGTTTTGCAGCTCAGATGAAGTGGGACAGCTGGGAATTTTGCTTTGAGTTCCCTCTCCATTGCAGGTGAATGTATGCCTGGGTATGGGTTTGGGGGAGAAACTGGCTGCGTAAACAAGCCAAGTAATCTGCAGTGTCTGAACAGGAACTACTATCAAGGAAGGAGTGGGGACAAGTGCATGTGTGCCTTGCAAAAGCTTTATGGACACTTTTAAGAGGGCTCTAATTGTGCATCCATAATCATTTTGTGGTACAAGTAATAGAATTTAGATGTCTGTCTTCACTTGCAAATCAGATAGCTAGATATGGAAATGTAATTAGTTGCTCCTGCAGCCCAACAGTGGGGGCAAACTTAGAGGCTCTTCTGAAAAGGCAGCAAGACATCAGGAAGGATTTGGAGTAAGCTTGTGGCGAGAGGACAAAAACCAAAGTGGAGCAAGGACTGTAGGGAACTAGGTAGAAAATGCAGGAAAAGGACAAGAACGGGTAAAATCACTAATGTGCCCTGACATTTCATATGAAAATCTTAATATAGGCTGAATGCTGTAGCTTTAGGTAATTGGCATAAAACATGATATTTATGCCTTTGTCGTCTGAGATGAAATTTCCAGACTGGTAGAAATTTAACTTCCAGTGTTCTCAGGTGGATTATGGGCCATGGGCCAGATAGGCATATTGTTAAAATTGGAAAGTTCTCCCTACATGCTGCTACGTTTCCACATCTTAGTGTATATTTCTATTTCGATGCTACTGTGCCACTGTGCCAGTATATACTGGGCCACTGTGGGGATTATAGATGTTCCCAGGGACAGATGCTATGGGCCAAATTCTGTTATCTGTTGTACAACTGCACTTCTCACTGAGTTTAATAGCTGTTGCACCTGTACTAGAGAGCAGAATTTGATCTTATATCTTTAATACTTTGTTTTGAAAAGAATGGGCGTGTGTTTAAAAAGGTGCAGCATGCCAGAACTTTGTGACCCAACATGGTGCATTAAAGTGGATCTAATGTTGATTTTTTTTTTTACAGTAACATCTGTGCTGTAACTTTCAAAATGATGTAATATGAATAATGACTACTAGGACTGATGGAAGTGATACCTACCACCTGTTTCCATAAAACTCCTAGAATGTTAGTAGTAAAATACAAAAAAGTATTATAGAACTCAGAGAGATGGGAGGGCATGGTCTGGACTTGAGCAAGTCACTTAACTCCCTCGGCCTCCATTTCCCCAACTGTAAAATGGGGATAATACTTGCATCACAGGGGTGTTAGAACTAATTAGAAGATGTTTGTGCAGTGCTTTGAGCATGCAAAGAACTAAGTATTATTAGAACTCCATTTCAAATGGTTAGAGTAGGTGATGGTTTTGTGATGTTGACAAATGTTTAGTGTGTTCTTGGACAGATTTTGAAGCATGTTAAACCTTCATCCAATCCATATTGCAATCTCTCGTTCTCTAATTGTTGACTATATTTACTTTTTTGCCATCAATATAGTTTTTAAAATAATTTAAAGAAATATATGCTGAAGCACAAGCAACCCATTTTGGGTTTACAGGAACAGCTTCCTTTTAAAAGACTGCCTTTTATAAAGCATTTGCTCAGTAAATTACATTTTTCAGGGTGACTGCATTTTAATCAACTTCTTATTTATAAAAGCAGTTGAGAGTTGGGATTTTGTTTTTTCAGATGTTTTTACTTCTTATAATGTGGAGTTTAGATATCATCCCGTTCCTAGTAAGGAAAGAATGTTGCATAGCATAGATGTTATAGAAAAGACAAATTGTAACTTGCATGGAAAACACCAAAAACTTTTCAATGCGAATGTATGAGGATATTTAACCTAATGAGTATACGACATTTCTACAGCAACGTGGTATGTTTTTAATGTATTTATTGACCAGTTTTTAGCCTTTTTGGATAACTCTTTACTAATATATTGTCATTTTTCTATCCCATTGTCATACCTGTACCAGTAAAATATGTAAAGAATAAACTGAACTTCACCATCCTTTTAAAGTGGTTGTGGTGTTAACAACTTCAGGCAGACTTTTTAAACAGTTTTTACAGAAGAGAATGGGATACTGGATAGCTTTTTGCATCCCAGAGTTTATGCTATGTACCCAAGAAAGGACATTCCTTTTGAAATACAAAGAAAATGAAAAACACCCTGTTTACGTAAGGGTATTTCATATTTTAACATCCTAAAGCAGCTGCACATACCAGTTTATAATTCACTACACTACACCCCTGCCAACACCCAAGATTTAGTCGGGGTATATAGTACAAGTCATGGACAGGTCCCAGGCCATGAATTTTTGTTTACTGTCCGTGACCTTTATTAAAAATACCCGTAACTGAAACATAGCCTTAGTTATGATGGTAAGAACATAAGAACGGCCATACTGGATCAGACCAATGGTCCATCTAGTGCAGCATCCTGTCTTCCGACAGCAGCCAATGTCAGCTGCTTCAGAGGGAATAAATAGAACAGGGCAATTATCGAGCAATCCATCCCCTGTTGTAAAGTCCTAGCTTCTGGCCATCAGATGCTATGGGACATCCAGAGCTAATCGCTATTGCTGGGCCTATCCTCCATGAACATGGTAGGATTATCAAAGTAACTTCACTGTTGTACTGTGCCAGCTTGCTTGGCCATGGGAACAGTAAAGTTCACACTTGAATTGCCAGGCTGGAGATAGAAGGTGTTGGGCCCTTCCCCAATGCAAGAACTAAAGTCTGTCCCCCTTTCTTTCCTGTGGGAGAGAATCCCCATCAAGCTCAATTCTATGACTGGGAATGTAAGTGTTGCCCAAGTGTAAGAAAGCAGATCCTCGAGCTATCTATGAGAGGCAGGTATGTCAGCTCAGGGCAACTGCACTGGTATTCGTCCTCTGTGGTCCAGCAAGGTCACCTATTATCGGCTTCCAGCTCCCCAGTCATCTCCTCTCTTGGATGGAGACATGGGTCTCTTCCCCCTTCTGACCAGGGTATTTCCAGGCTGTACAGTCCCCTGACTCAACTGTGATATTCTCAGCAAAAGACAGGCTGCCCAAGCAGGCTTCTTTTGCCTTCTCTTCAGAGACGGTATACCATGTAATTGCCAATGATATAGGTCACCACACAGCTCTTTCTGAGCAAGCACACTTCATTCTTAAGGTAAAAGCATAAGAGAAAACACTAAAAATATAGAAGAACCTACATGGATGCTAAGAGGCTAACCAGAAGTGACCCCTAACACCAACATGGGCTCTGGCAGGTGAGCAGTCCTTCAAAATCCCATACAAGGGTTTTCCTGTGGTTTTTGAGTTCATAACACACTTTTGCGCAGAACAAGAACCCTGACTTTGAGTCATTTATCCAGGTTGGGCCTTTGAAGAGACTGTGAATGGGTAATCACCCAGACAATGGTTTTTCTGCTCAAGACGAAAATTCAAAAGGTGAGTGGTGAGTCCTTTGCATTCCCCTCATCCCAAATATTTCCTGGGAAATCCATTTCACATGTATTATCCTAACGAGTCCTTTTAAGTTCCTAATACTTCAAACTATTGCATTAGTCATGTTTCCTAGAAAAGTTACATATAATTCCAAAATAACGTATTAGCAATTGCATTTTAATACAATGGATGACTTCTAAAATAATTACAGAATTAAGTTAAACCTTATTGAATTAAGGATTGTCTAGGTTATTGTCTTGTATGTCAGAGAAGGTACAACCCGTTCAGATTGGGGCTACATCCACTATTCTAAACAGCTCCCACTCCCCTTCCTATGGCTCTAAATATGGGGCATTCAGTGATGCCAGCTGCCTGGACAGACCGGGAAGAGCCTGACAGCTGCTTAAAAAAAACCCTCTAAAGTAAAAGGGGATTGGAATAGCCCTTGTATCTTGACTTTTATCTTTAGAAGTCTCAATACCATATACATAGCCAGGTAAGCTGCAGACATGTGGACTGCAATGTTAGCACAGAAAACTAGGTTTGTGCTCCTATTGGGATTTTTTAGTGTCAGTGGCAATTAGTGGATATGAAGTATGTTGTTTGATTACCCTGTGTAAATTCATCAGGAAAAATTCAGACTTGCTTTGAGCAGCCATAGTGACAAACTGTTGTGTAAGGTAATTGAGTGGAAAGTGGATTAAAATGGATATGGGGTAAAGAAGCAAGGCACACTGTCCAGTTTGGCACGCAATGCGTTTTGCCAAGGAATGTAATTTACACGCAGAGGAGAGAGTGCAGCAGGAAACGCAGCTAACATCTGTATACAACAAAAGGTGGGGCTCGCTTTACTCTAGAGCTAGGCTCCCCGAGATCAGACTTTTACTGGTGTAAAAACGGATCCAAACGTTGCCACCCCGGATCCTCCACGTGCGCAGCCCCAGGCAGAAGCGAGAATTCAGGGCGGCCGAAGGCTGCGGCTGATAACGTGTCGATGCTGTTTACAAAGCTTCACCTCCGCAGCGAGTGTCACTCCGCAGCAATCGCGGCCTCCCCCGCCGCCGTGAACATGTCCACAGGGAAAACGGGGGGTGGCGACTCCAGCCCAGTTGCAGGAGCGGAGCTGCGCCCAGCGTAGCAGCAGCCCCGGGGCGAGCGCGGGAGGAAGCCCTGCTGGGGCTGCCGTGGACGGTGCAGGACAAGCCCCCGGGAGCGGGGATCTCCCGGGCCCTCCGCGGCTCCCTCTGAGCCACGGGCCGGGCCGCGGCGAGGGGGGCTGACGCACACCCGCCGCAGCGGGCTGGGCACGAGCAGGAAACGCACCTACATGCTCATTTGCATACGGCGCGCGTTGATTTACCCTCATTCGCAAGTAGCTTCCGGCCTAGAGTCCGCGCGGAACGTGGCAGCCGTGACCCCGCCCCCTGCGTTGGGCGCGGCCCCCTGCAGCGGCTCTGTTGGGCTGGCACTGGCCGCACGCACCATGTGCGAGGTAAACGCGGGGGGGGAAGGCCCGCACATAGGCTGTCCCATTGGGAGATACCCCGCTGCTCTGAACTCAGGCCCGTCCCACCTAGATCTCCCGGATGTAGCCCCTATTCCCTTCCGGTCGGGGTCAGCCTTGTGCTTCCGGGTAACGGGGACGCTGGACGCTAAGGTGGGGAGTCCGAGGTGGGACCTGGGCCCTGGTAAGTGCTGGGAGCGGCGCAGCGTTGGCGCCCGGGAAGCAGCGTCTCCTTCCTCTCCCCCCGCTCGCTGTCTGCCCCCTCTTCTCCCGGCCCCTCCCGCGCGGCGCTGCCCCGCCCCGCCGCCGCGGGCCCGCTCGGCACCCGCTGCGGCCGGTGGCTTCCCACGGGAGCTCCCGCCCGCCCGGAGAGGGAGCGAGGCGCTGAGCTGCGCCCAGGCCGCGGCCCTGGCAGAAGCCCCCCAAGTACATCGCGGCCAGTCGCGCGGGGAGGTTTCACTTGCCCGCCCCGCTCTGGCTGGACCCTCTGTGCCCCGCCCCCCCCCGGTGTTCAAAACGTCTGGCTCAGACCCCGCGACATCACACGGGTGGCTTAAAACCCGTGAGGTTTAGAGAGAGCCCCAGGGGAGCTGGAGCAATCTGTGCAGTGGGGCTGGCTGTGAGCCATGGACCCGAACCCTAAACCCTGCGTCTGATGGAAACCACCCCACGTCAGGAGTGCTGCGGCGTCCCTGGTTCCAGCCCCTGTGGGTAACGTAGGGCAGGGGTTTCTCTGCTGCCTTCTGCTCACTGCACCTTTAGAGGGCGCTTGGGGCCATGGTTTTCTCTACCGCCCTGAGCAGCAGAAACTTGCTTTTTTAATGGAAGCTGAGATTCTCCTGGAATAACCGGACTCCGGGAGCTGGGGTTTTAAGTAAAACACCAAATATTGCTAGAATTGGCCACATTGTGGTTCCGCATATCACTGACTTGCTCACTAATTGAGAGGTGGTTGATATGCTTCCTCAAGCGCTGGTCATTGAAGGACAATCTTTGCCCTAACAAAAAGGGATTGAAAGAGAGACGTATATCCCTCCCCAAAGCTAATCTTGCTGACTCCACATGCTCTCAGTCGTTATTCTCAAACAGTGAGGCTCACAGTTGTGGCGCACAGTGTGATGCTGTGCATAACAGCATGTGTTGGGTTAAGCACATTTTTAACTTTCAGACGTCATCTCAGAAAGCCATGCACATGTGCACCTGCAGTTGCAAATGAACCTGCACTGTGTATTAGGTTGCCTAGCAAAGAAGAGTATTTTGACTTGATTTTGGTTTTCTGATATTTTTCAGGATTGCACTTGTACATAAGCCACTATATTCAGTCTTTTGAATAAAATCTATAATAAATGCTGATCATCATAATCTTCTTAGTTCCCTGACACTAAATTTTATGATTAAAAACAGGAAAATGAAAGATTTTTATTAGGTTCATTTTGGGACCTGTCAACCCTGAAATGTTTATCTTAGCCCGATTGTGCCTGTGTTTTTAAGGTGCGTAAGGTTGTTCATGCTGTGTGATCCCTTTGGCGTTAGATCATCTAATGCAGAGAGTAGTTTTAATCCAGAATTAATTTGTTGTCATAGGCTTATATCGTGATCATAACAGTTTTTCTCCTTTTGAGAATTTTTAAATGATTTAAATTTGCATGAACTTTTAATTTAACTATTTCTATAAAGTTGCATTTAAGTGATGTATCAACATCTTGCATTGTTTCCTCATCCCTTCAAGGTCTCCGGGAATTTAAATGGATTAAATAAATTTCCAAGTCTATCTCCTTGTAGCACCGTCTCAAGAGCTTACATGACATAATCATTCACTTATAGTATTCATATATATGTCCTTTTGAAAAGTAGATAAATATTATCCTAATTTTATATTTGCAGACAGTATGGGCTTGTTTACACAGGGTTGTAGTCCACAATAACTTTTCTTAGTGTGCATTCAAGTGACTTGTGTCCATACAACACAATTCTTCAAAGTATACTAATTGGCCACTTAATAATTCTGTAATTCACTTTGAAAGTATATTAAGTTCATTGTGTATTGAGTTAGTGTGGACTAATGTGTGCTCTCTGCCCATTTCCACTAGCTTGGCAGTCTGCAAACTGCTATCCCACATTGCTTTGCGTGATGCCAGGACAGGTTTGTCTCTCTACCTGTATGCCCTCCACTGCTCTGAGGTCATGTTGACTGGATGTCACATAGCATGGATGTTTTGCTCTAATCTCCTACCATCTTAACAGCCGAACACTAAGTACTAATGACCTGCACTAAAACAGCTATGAATGGAATCATAGAAGTGTAGGACTGGAAGGGACCTCAATAGCTCATCTAGTCCAGTCCCCTGTGTGATGGGTTCTTCCCCCACCCCCACTCTGAGGGGCCACCTGATATACTGGGGTACCATTGAGCCTGCCTGTTCCACCAGCCTGGGCTCCCTTACGCTGTCCTGCTGAGCCGGACCCTCAAGCCTCCTCCGGCACACACACAGGTAGGGACGCACCCAGCTGCAGAAAGACACAAACACTGAAATCAGCTCTGCATGGGAAGGCTTCAGCTAAGGAATTGCCCAGCACTCAAGTGCACACCCGCTCTAGAGTGTAAACTCAAAATTATATTGTCTTGTGGTGCACAGAGAATTATACAGCATAAGCTCATGAAACTTGCCCCCTCCCTCAATGTGGAGGAAGCACAGCTCTTCCCCCCCCCCCCTTATGAATTCCACAAACTGGTTTTAGAGAAAACAAAAACAAGTTTATTAACTACAAAAGATAGATTTTAAGTGATTATAAGGGATTGCAAACCGATCAAAGCAGAGCAAATAAAACAAACTAACTAAGCTTAATACACTAAAGAAACTGGTTACAAGTAGTAATTTCTCACATTAAATGTTGTTTTAGGCATTTCTTTCACAAGCCAGACACCTTTTCCAGCCTGGGCTCAGCTCTTCTCCTCTTCCCCCCCCCCCCCTTTTGTCCTTGTTTCTTAGATGTTTTCAGCAATCATCCTGAGCGGGTATTCAGTGAAGAATGAACACTGATTAAGTCACTCCCCTGTCTTAAATAGGTTTTACATATGGCGGGAACCCTTTGTTTGCCAGTGAGGTTCCCACCCCCCTCAGATGAAAAATATCGGTATTCTATGGTGGAGTCCAGTACCAGGTGACATGATCACATGACGCTGCAGTGTCAAAGCAGCCATGAGTCAAAAGCCATTTGAAGCATCCCAGGCAGCTTCTCAGGAAGGTGGGAGATTAGCATCTTCAAAGTCCTATTGTTCTCCCTAATGGCCCATCCAGACTGATTGCATTCTGACTCGTGGGCATTCCCTAGGTGTAAGCCCACTTGTAATTGTTACATAGTCAATATTCCTAACTTCAGATACAGAAATGATACATGCATACAAATAGGATAATCATATTCAGTACCTCATAACCTTTCCAATTATAGAGCCATTGTGCATAACATACATCTTAGATATGCTATAATCCATATTATAACAATATTTCTATGAAGAATATGGGGCGTAGTGTCACACCCTGCACTCAAGGCAGGACTAAGTAATAACTAGACCACCTGTCAGGAATGTTCTTAAAAACCTCCAATAACACAGATTCCACAACCTAGGCAATTTGTTACAGTGCTTAACTACCCTGAGAGTTACAAAGTTTTTCCTAATATCCAGCCTAAACCTCCATTGCTCCAATTTTTGCTCATTGCTTCTTGTCCTATCCTCGGAGATTAAGGAGAACAATTTTTCTCCCTCCTTCTTGTAGCAACCTTTTATGTACTTGAAAACTGTTATCATGTCCCCCGTCAGTCTTCTCTTCTCTTCTCCAGACTAAGCGCAAACAGTTTTTTTTTCAATCTTTCCTCATAGGGTATATTTTCTTGCCCTTTAATAATTTTTGTTCTCCTCCTCTGGACTTTCTCTGATTTGTCCACATCTTTCCTGAAATTTGGCACCCAGAATGTGACACAATACTCCAGGTTAAGCCTTATCAGTGTGGAATAGTGTGGAAGAATTATTTCTCATGTCTTGCATACAACCCTCCTGCTGAGACATCCCAGAATGATGGTTTGTTTGTTTTTTTTTGTTTTTTAAACAGTGTTACATTGTTGACTCATATTTAGCTTGTGATCCACTATAACCCCCAGATCCCTTTCCGCAGTACTCCTTCCTAGGCAGTCATTTCCCATTCTGTGTACTATGCATTTGTCCTTATTGAATTTCATCCTGTTTACTTCAGACCATTTCTCCAGTTTGTCCAGATCATTTTGAATTTTAATTCAATCTCCAAAGCACTTGTAACCACTTTCAGCGTGGTGTCATTCACAAACTTTGTAAGTGTACTCTCTATGCCATTATCTAAATCAGTAATACTCAGACTGAGGCGCTCGCAAGCCGCAAGTGGCTGTGTCTCCCCTGTGGCTCTTCGCAGCACATGATATTAAAACACTGATTTAATTATTAACCAATCAGGATGCTTTTACTATGTTATTAACCAATTGTATTTGATAAAATAAGTATACATTTTGCTGTGAGTACAGTAAATGAAACCGTGAATTCACACTACTATGGCTCTTCTGGGTAATATTGATCATTGGTTTGCTCCTTAACCACTGAGATCTGAGTATCACTGATTTAAATCATTTGTGAAGATATTGAATAGAACTGGACCCAGGACGGATCCTTGTGGGACCCCCCACTCAATATGCCCTTCCAGCTTGACTGTGAACCACTGGTAACTACTCTATGGGAACAGTTTTCCACCTTATAGTAGCACCATCTAGTCTATATTTCTCTAGCTTGTTTATGGGAATTAAGCAAGAGTAAAACTTATGAAAATGAACCACTTCATGTTCTTAGGAATTAATTTCAAATTTAAAGATCTCTTAATGTAAACTGCTTTAAAATCAGAATGCACTAGAAACTGGAAAACCATGAGTTTAAAACAAAACAATTTTGTGTATGTCAGATGAGAATTTTAGAGTACAGATTCTATCTACTAGAATCATAGAATTTAAAGATGGAAAAGACCTACTAGATCATCCAGGTCATCTTCTTGCTGATGTAAGATTGCACTATAGGGAACATTTTCTTGTATTATGTATGGATGTTAAAGGTAAGATGGCACTTTTTGAGAGAGAGAGAGAGAGAGTTTTCCCTGGTATCCTAGCCAAAATTCCCCCTCTCCTTGCCACTGTTCAGCAACATGATGTGTACTGTCTGCTGAGTGCTCCATGCCAAAGGTCGCCACATTTCAGTGGTTTTGTGTTGTATTTAGCATATGAAGCCCTTTGTGGCGAGTTTTCTGAATAGAAGGCAGTATATAGCATGTTTTTTTTTAATTATGTACAAACTTAATGTCTGCAAAATTGGTTTTAAAATGTGCTTTGAACAATGATCTGCATGTAGTTTCACAGAATTTTTCTGATTTAATCAAGTTACAACAGTCTTAAATTAACTTACACACACACACTTTATCTATATATATATATGAATATAAAAGTGATGAGTATGAATGCAATTTTTGTGTGTGGATGTGTGTGTGTGTATATATATGTATATGTATGTGTGTGTGTATATACATTCGTACATACTTGGGATTTTTTTGTGCAATTCCTGGCATAGCAAGATTAGACACTACTCTCATGTTTCATCCTGGTGTAGTTTGATATTTATTTTTCTTCCCCCATCTAAATAATAGGACTTGATCATGGAAACATTCCCTGATCTCAACTGCCATTGTACATGTAAGTTTCAAAGAAAGCCTTTTTGGTGATATTCATATATGTTTCTTTTCACTAGATATGGATAACAGACGTGATGAGAAATGTGGAACACCATGCGCTACATCACAAGAAGAGATGAAAGTCAGAGGTGGGAGTCATGAAATCAAACTCTAGTCTAGGACAGTGGTCTCCAAACTTTTTTGATCGCGCGCACCCCTAGCAGTAAAATTTTTTTGAGCACGCACCCCCTGCCGTGCCACAGGGCCGGCTCTACCATTTTTGCCACCCCAAGCAACAAAAAAAGGCGCTCAGACTCCCGCCCGAACTGCCTAACCAAAACAAACAAACAAAAATAAGCCGCCCGAACTGCCAAAGCGGCGCTGCTCTGGTGGCACTCCTCCTGCCACGCACCCTGAAGGATCCTCTTGTGCCCACCCCACTTTGGAGACCACTGATCTAGGACAATAGCTGCTGGAGAAAGACTCTCTTGTATTATTTGCATACTATGTTTTGCATGAGTAAAAATGGTTGATTGCATTGCTTAGCATTGTCATTAGCTAAATTATGTTGGAAATGACAGAAGGCAAGGACAATGGTTTTATTTTTTTTAATTGATTCACCAAAGCTTGTCTTAAATTTTAATTTCTATAAAAAAGTGTCTTCTGAGCTTAAGTTATTAGCTTGTGTGTTCTCACTATTTGAAACCTAATGAACCAGACCTTGTGTTCTCCTAAGGGAAAGACAAGAGAAAGCGAAAACGCAGCAGAAGCAGATCATCATCCATTTCATCAACATCATCTGCTAGTACTACTACTACATCCTCCTCATGCTCTTCATCAAGATCTTCCTCCTCTTCAAGCAGCAGAAGCAGTTCAAGTGGCAGAGGTAAGTTGCCATTACTGCACTTGAGTGTGTGTATTTACTCGTTCTAACAGTGCTGCTACACACATTTGAAACTTACTTTAAATGTAGCTTAATTACCAGGAAATAACTGTACAAGTCAGTGCACAACTTTTGCTGTCTTTGTTTCTTCAGACTGTTTTCATGTAACCACTTCCTGTAGCTACTCAAGCGCCTCTTTACACAATGCATGTGCTGTCATTTAAATTAACTAATCAACATTAGAAATAAAAAAAATTCTTTTCACTCAAAGCAACAAGTAAGATCTCAAATAACATTGTGTACATTTAAAATGTTTTAAAACAAAACAATTGAATTTTTTTCTACTTTGCCTGCCTGTCCAGACCAAAGTTAAAGTTTTTTGGTTTAATCTGAATTTTGGTCTCAATCCTGCAAACACTTAAAGGTGTGAAGTTTACTCATAGGACTAGTCCCACTGAAATCAATGGGACTGCACTCATGATTAAAGTTGTGGCTCGAAAGCTTGTCTATCTCACCAACAAAAGTTTGTCCAATAAAATATATTACCTCATTCCCCTTGTCTTTATGATTAAAGTTAAGCAGATGTGTAAATATTCTTTGACTAGGTGTCCCTATGGGTGCTCCACTTTAGGTGTCTGTGTGCCTGCGTGCTTTCAATCAGAGATCTTTGGTAGTAATGTCTGTGGGGTCCACATCTGCAACATGTACATCCCCGTGCTCCAATCCAAGAGCATATAGAGGAGGGTGGACCCGCCACTGTTCCAGTTCCTTCTCAGCAACCTGCAACTAGAGATGCAGCATTGCGGTATCCGTTAGCTTCAAAGTTTTAGCTAGCTGACTTATTTTAGTCTTACCTCTTCTAATATTTTTTTATTAATTTCCCAAACACGCTGTGTGCTTTTGGGGGTCCCCCCCACACCCCTTCCACACCTGACCTTGGCCTCTCCTTGTCTTCCACCTTCTCTGTTGCGGGGTATGGCCAAAATTTCAGGCTGCAAACCCTGCCAGACCTGTAATAGGTCTTTTTGCCTTAGTGATGGACATTCCAGCTGTCTCAGAGTCGCGTGTTCCATCTAAGTGCAAGGTCTGCACTGGTTTTAAGAGCAGGTCTAGGAATCTGAGGGACAACAGGCTCAATCTTTTCCTCGTGAACCATTCCTTGAGACCTGCTATCACTTCAGGCCCCCTTGGATATTGGCCTCAGGCAACCTGAGTGCCCTGGCGACTTTCACAGCTCTGACTCCAACAAGCGGAGACCTGGGAACAGCTTCAGAGAGTCTAAGAAAATGGAGAAGTCGTCCCCGAAATCAGGTGGCAAGTATACCTGGCGTCTGGTATGAGTACTGCTGTGGTTCCTACATATTCAAAGATTATCTACAGCATGGTGCTCTCTGAGAAATCTCTCAGCAAACAGCCTCACTAGACACTGACACGGTACCCTTCTTAGAGTCCTCCAGTCATTAGGGACTCCTTGAAGAAACTGTCTTTGACCGTGACCCACTTCTACAGGTAATGGGCGAAAGGACCATATGGATCGTCCAGCTGTACCATCCCTGGTAACATCAGCTTCATCCTAACCAGCCACATGGTGCCCTACTTTGTTGGTACCAACTAGGTTCCTTTTGCAAGAGGATCTTTGAGTGTTGGAAGAACCTGTATCGCATCTACTGAGATGTACGAAGAGCCATCTTCTGAAAGTACTCATGTGTAGCTCCCCTGCCCCAGTGTGTAACCACACCTGTAGGCCTTGTCTACATTACACAATTTTGTCGTCAAAAGGCAGCTTTCATCGCCAAAACGATGGTGTGCACACGGCAATGCTCCTCCCTCCGATTTAACTCTCCTGCTACACCAATGACATAAAACCACCTCGACAAGAAGCATAGAGCAATGCAGTGCCAGTGTGGACACTGCGCTTGCTTATGTTGCTCTAATTGGTCTCCAGGAGGTGTCCCACAATGTGCATCATGACCACTCTGGTCAGCAGTTTGAACTTTGCTGACCTGCAGGTCTGCAGGCATGCGCCCCTCTCTCTTTTAAAGCCCCAGGAATTTTTGAAATTCCTGTTCCTGTTTAGTTGGCGAGGACAGCTCACATAGCAAATGCACAGCTGACCATGCCGACTTTCTGCAGCAAATGCACTCCTGCCTGGAGTATCCTGGAGTTGTTGGGTTTGTGGGGCAAGGAGGCTGAGGAGGGTGGAACTTTGATACCTACGGGCAGATTGCTCATGACATGCAGGAGAAGGGGCACAAAAGGGACATGCAGTGGTGCCATGCTAAGATCAAGGAGCTGAGGCAGGTGTACCAGAAGTCATGGGAGACCAACCGTCGCTCTGGTGTGGCGCTGAAGACATGCCACGTCTACCAGGAGCTGCACGCCATCCTCAGTGGCGACCCTACCTCCACCACCAAGAGTCCCTTGGATACTTCGGGGGAGACTGGAGGCAGGAGCCAGCAGAGTCAACCCTGGGGATAAAGTGGTGGACAAGGAAGTGGAGTTGGAGGAGGATGTGGGACATGCGACAGGGTCGTCTGATGGCCTGGCGAGCCGAGCCAGGACCTCTTTTTGACTCCGGAGGAGTCTAGCCAGTCCGAGCACTCCGGCTGTGGCATGCCTGATGCAGGAAAGGGGAGCTCTGGTAAGTACTCATTTTGCTTTGATACTGCATGGTGACAGGAGGTTGAGCTCTGCTTTATTTTGTTACATGATAAAAGTGGGATAAGGGATAGAAATTAACACTAGGTACTCTTTGCATCTGCTTCTCGTTACCCTGTGCAGCTATGCAGTGGGGGCCCTGCGGAAAAGTTTGTTAATGCACACCAGGATGTCCCGGGAATCCTCCATAGTGATTTCTAGGAGACTTTCCTGGAGGTACTCTGCAATCCTCTGCCGAAGATTCCTCGGCAGAACTGCTTTGTTTCTTCCCCCGCTGTAGGAAACTTTGCCACACCAATCGGCAATACTTCTCCAGGAACCAAAGCAAGCCACAGGCGAGCAGCATACGGACCCGGTCAGAAGCTGCATGCATGCAGGAGATGCACCCTTGCATCCTTGGTTACCCTCAGGAATGAGATATCAGCTTTGATCACCCCCACCTGTGAAAAATAGTGCCAATAATCAGAGTAGTGTTCCTAGGCGCTTGGAGTGATCCCCTTCGGAAACCACCCAGACCATTTGTCCCATCTTGCCCCTTCCCTCTCCCTCCCTTCCAGGCCAAACTCACCATGTTTTGGGCTCTCGCTGTGCTGTGTACTTGCTAAGGGAAAGTGAGAAAGAGGTGTATGTAACTGTTATGATTCAAGGCTGTGAGTGCACTCACAATACTACCTCTGTTTATTGTTTCTTTTGCTTCTGCAGATGTGCTCTTGAGGGCCACCTCCTACGCACCGGCGGAGCGCCTCCATCAGATAAGGAGGCGAACCAGGAGGAGTAAGGAGGACATATTTAGAGAACTGCTGCAATCAACTGATGCTGCAGACAGCGAGAGCAGAGCTTGGAGAGAGACGATCAATGAAAAACTCAGAATGGATAGCCAGGAGAGGAGACGGGGGCAGGAGCGAATGATAAAGCTGATGGAGGACCAAACAGAGATGCTGAGGTCCCTGATTGCACTGCAGGCAGAGCACATCCGTGCTCAACTTCCCCTGTAGCCTGTACAGAACTGCATTCCATACCATCCCCAAACTCCCCACTCACATTCCTTGCATGTTCCCAGCCCGTCGCAGTACCCCTTGCCCTTGACCCATAGGGACACGTTTCATAATGACAACTGGACTTGCACACAGCTGTGAGAGCCTCATTTGAGACAGTACTCCTCAGGGTCATGTCCCTTGTAGGAAATGGAAATCGGTGTATTGCTGTTTAATAAAAATGTAGACTTAGAAATAAAAGGAATCTTTTTGTGTCCTGCATGCAGTAGTTGCTGCTGAAATTCTTATACAGTGGCAATCGTCATATTTGCAGACTACAATTAGTGCTTTGGCAGCAATCATTACAAGGATCATTCAAGGCAGCAAGTAAACAATGCCTGGCTGAATGCATTAAAGAAAGACACATTACTGGGGCTCATTGTCAAAATGCTGCTTCAAAGCCTCCCTCATTCAAGCAGCCCCCTGTTGAGCCCCTCTGATAGTCCTGGTATCTAGCCGCTCAAAATGAGCCACCGGGCAGTCTACCTAAATGCTCCACCCCGGGGTAACTTTTCCCCGTTAGCTCTGCTTATGTTATGCAGAGCACAGCAGGCTGCTGTGACCATGAGAATGTTTTCCTCATTGAGATCTAACCTGCCAAAAAGGCTGCACCAGTGACCCTTTAATCTGCCAAAGGCACATTCAGTGGTCATTCTGCACCTGCTGAACCTGTTGAAGCGTTCCTTGCTGCTCTCAAGGTTTCCAGTGTAAGGCTTCATGAGCCACAGGAGTAAGGGGTAGGCTGGGTCTCCCAGGATCATTATGGGCACTATCCACATCCCTTATTGGAATCTTCTGGTCTGGAAAGAAAGTCCCTGCTTGCAGCTTTCGATACAGGCCAGAGTTCCTGAAGATGCATGTGTCATGCACCTTCCCTGACCACCCCACATTGATATCAGTGAAACTACTCCTGTAATGGACCAGCGCATGCAATACCGTAGAGAAGTAACCCTTTCTGTTGGTGTACTCTCACAAGATGGTCTGGAGCTGAAATTGGGATATGCGTGCCATTTATCACCCCGCCGCAGTTAGGGAATCCCATTGCTGCAAAGCCATCCACTATTTCCCAAACATTGCCCAGAGTCTCAGTACTCAGCTACAGACCAGCTGTAGAAATTTTGACATCTATGAGCAGATTGCCCTGGGGATGCAGGACAAGGGGTAAGACAGGGATCAGCAGCGGTGCTGTGTGAAAGCAAAGGAGCTGCATCAGGCATATCAGAAGGCCAGAGAGGCCAACAATCGATCTGGTGCCAAGTCACAGATCTGCAGCTTTTACAAAGAGCTACGGGCTATATCTTGGGGACACCT